AGCCCCCACCCCAGCTGGCCCGGCCCGGGAGAGATTAGGATTCTGCTTTCAAGCGCACACTGCAATTTTTAGGATTCCACAAATGCCGAGAAACTTGGTTCCTGCTTTCAAGAAACGCTCAGGTGCACTACCTAAGGACAATATTCTACTGTTTGCCTGATGTTCCATCCCCCGCTAAGGCCCTCAACATGAGCCCTCAGATAGGCCTGCAGAATACTAAGTACTTCCTGTGTTTATATAAAAATAAAGAGGGGAGGTCAGATTTACCTCCCTGACCACACTGCCCCTGCGTGGCCATCTCCACTAGCCCAGGGTGTGGGCTGGCTTTGCTGTCTTCTCCAGAAAGTCTTGATGGTAATGCTGTGATACCCACGTGCAACTGTTGCATCCCCTGAGTTAGCGGAGATTGAGACTGTACTTTCTGGGGCTTTAACTACAAGTCCCTAATGAGACCTTATTAACCACTTAGCTAATAAGCACTTTGTAATCGCTGAGCTTCTGCACAATCATGACTTAGGGAGCAATTATGGAAGCAGGCAGAGGGCTGTGCGGTTGCTGAAGGGTGTCTCCAAAACATGTCTGAGCAGCCCTGAGCCTGCTACGTGGTTCTACCAGCACAGGGCACTGTCCTGTCACCCGGCCAGGGGATACAGGGTGAAGACCGAACCTGGTCTTTCATTAGAGGCCAAAAAGGCTCCTTTCTCCCTGCTGCATCTACATCCCTACTCTGTGACAGCGGCTTTCTTAAGAGTGATGAAGTGAAAGCATCCTTAAGGAAATCAGCAGGGGGCCTCCTACATGCTCTTCCCAATCTGATGGAAACCATCCCAGAGTCACTGCTGGTCAATACCACAAGGTGGATGCAGACTTCCTGAAGAGGTCACAAGGAGACTACGTGATGGAGAACTTGTCTAAAAGAGTGAAAGGGGGCCCATGAAGCCTACCCTAAAGGCCAGTGTGAAGGTGAACGTTATCGAGGGTATCACAGGTTACCTTCTGTTTCCTGACAGCAGAACACCTCCACGAGAGTGTGGACATGAGCAGCCGGACTTGTGCTAGCTCAGTGCTCCTCAAACTTTCGGTGGTGAATGACCAGATTTTGCTTTTACTTCTTAATCTCTAATCCCTGTGGCCTGATACTCTTGAATACAATAAAAATGAATCAGTAGAAATATGATCACACACTTTGATGTGTGGCAATGTCACTTGGCTTTGCTGGTGCCTGATGTTTACTCTCACTTGCTGTGCTCACAGGGTCACAGACCAGTACCTGCCCGTGGACCACACATTAAGTAGCCCTGCTCTGGCTGACTGGGAAATGACCAGACTCTCGGGATCCTGAAAGAAAGAGATGCTCAACTCATGGAGAAACTTCCAGAAAACTGGTATAATATGAGACTAAGATCTGGAGGTTCTCAAAAAGGAGCTTCATGCACTGAAAAGCAAGTCACGTATGTAACTGGGGAGGCTTAAGACTTGTCTGGGAAGAGTCTGTCAAATGCAAAGTTGTGCAATCTTATGATCTGACCAAAAATGATCATGTCCCACTCACTAGTTTTTTAAGAATTGGTAATTATGGAGGACATGGACTGTTTTTCATAACCCTTTATGTATCTTTCAATATTCTCGTAAAATTAAGGAACTGAGCTATTTCTCACACCCCCTTTTCCATTGTAAATTCTAATTATTTTTCAGCTAATTAGAGCATGCTAGGATGGTTAAACAATTCAGAAGGTCTGTCATTTCACATTACATTAGATTAACCTCACACACACCATTTCCCTCTGAGAGCCTCAGTTTCCTTGTCTATACGATGGGGAGACCACCACCATCCTTGCAGGGCTGCAAAAGAAGGTCATCAAAGAATCTGGGCTATGCCTCACATGGCACTGGGCTCCCAAGAGCACCTGGCAGATAGTTAATGGGTCCAAAGCACAACCACGTCTATGTTCTGGGACTTTTCTCCTCCCTAGACTGCCTTCACCGGGAGAACGGCTGGTTGCTTGGGTTTCCTCCCCTGCACGAGTAAGAACAATGGGGCTCACCAAGGATGAGCCTGCTGGCTTTTCTCAA